ATAATCATCAGTTCATCAAGTATGAAAGCAGTGTTCTTTGCATCTCATCCAGGAGTTAACCATCCCAGCTCCAATCCCTGTATCTGTTCCACAACATTACACTTCACAGGACATTTAGAACCGAGGCTTTGATAAGGACTGAAATTAGTCGGACGACACACACACACACACACACACACACACACACACGTGGTGGTGGTGGTGGTGGTCCGTGTTAGTGAGTGTAATTACAGCTCTGAGCACCGAGCCAAAGCTCAGCTCCGCTGCTCAAGGTCACACGCCGGACTCCACCGGTCTCCACAGGCCCAGATCCTGGAGACTGGAGACTGGAGCGGGACGGTCTACAGGACAGTCTACAGGATGGTCTACAGGATGGTCTACAGGACGGTCTCTCCGTCAGGTTACGTCCAAGTGTGAAGGTAATTGGAGCGAGTGTCAGGACGACTGTTGGTTTTTGGTTTTTGTTTTTTGTTTTTTTCGTTGTGTTGGAGATGCGAGATGGCTGCAGTCGGTCTCAGGATCAAACCTTCAAATCCCGTCTTTTCACACAACACAATCTGTAACGTCAGACGGAATTATAATCTGCAGGAATTATCCAGAAAATGTAGTTTATAATCTGGGACTCAATCCTCCCTCTGTTTCTTTACTCCTCACTTCGAGAAGTTTCTGTTTGGAATGCTGCATCGTGACTGTTGTTAATGATCTGACACTGGGGGGGGGGGAGAGGATTGGGAGGGTTGCTGGTTTGAATCCAGGCCCTGGTAGGACTGTGGTGGTGCTGGGCACGGTCCAAAAAAAAAAAATCCCAGCCTCCCTCACTGCCTTTGTGTTGTTGTTGATCACTGGAACGTTTAATTATCCACCTGGGAAACTAACGGAAGATCAAATCAAATCAAATAAAAAAAAACAAACAAATGTGTAAATAAAGCTCGAGCTTTAAAAAAAGTTTCAAACGAAGCGTCACTGCACGGTTACGGACGCTGCTGCGGTCGGTGGCGTGGGGCTCTGCTCTACAGCGGAGGGTTATATTTAGCCGTCATTCATCGACCTCTGGCTGATTGGTCCGTTCTGAGCTTCAGTATAATGCCCCCCCCCCCCTACCTCCCACCCCCCCCCCCTCCCCACACCCACACTCTTTACACTTC